CGTGCAGCCCGCCCGGCGCTGGCGCCGCGTGGCTGTGGGGTGAGTGCCTGCGGGGCCTGCGGCTCTGGGCCTCCCCGGGAAGTGTGCGCGCTCCGGGGTCTGCCCGGGACGCGTTGGTGTCCGCGTTGCCCTCTTGGCAAAGTGTCGGACGTGTGAGATGAGCCTTTCGTCATCGCTTCAGGGACACTCAGCACAATTTCCCCCCTCGGCTGGTCCTGCTCTTCTCTTTTCCATGTAAAACCAGCCAGCCCTAATAGCCTCTTAGACATCTAACCCAGCCTGTCACCTGTATTTTTTTGAGGTTACTCCATTGTCCTGACTTTCACCCCTTCACGGCCAACTGTTCTCTGGCGGTCACAGATTCCTATCGTAGCGCTCTTCCTATTCTAAACTTGAAGCCGAATGAGTTCTGTATCTAGCTATTTACGTCATCTCGTCCGAAGACCACTGTACTACAGCTGCTCATTTTCAAATTCAGCAGTTTTTTTGGTTAAGGTTTCATTGTCTACTCTCTGCGCCTTTCACGTTTAGCACGCCCTCCTTAGAACTACTTTCTTCCCCATACGGAGTGACAGTCCGAATTTTTAAGGTTCTCCCAAATCACAGTACCTCCTTTCTTTGTAAAACTCACAGAAATGTAATTTTTTTTTAAACACTAACCTTAGTCCCTCTCCCAGTTCGTCTTGGTTTTCTTGTCAGGTCAAGGGTGGCCTCCAACACCAAGTTTATTATCTTTTGGGGAGGGGGGAGGTACGCTTTTCTTTAGGTTGGATTTGTTGAGTTTTTGCTTCCTTTTGAACTAAGGTCTCCTTGGCTGGTCTGGAACTTACATAGATGAGGAATGGGCCTCAAACTTAGTTGTGCCTGTTCCAGCCTCCTGTACTGGTGTTACATGCCCCAGAGGCCTGTACAAAAACAACTAGTCTCTCCTGTTTTGTGCCATTGTTGTGGCTAAGTGGAGTAAAGTAGAGCAAAGGTAACCTGCATCAATGAAATAATCACGTTATTTAACCAATATTATGTTAGCTTTTGAAAGTACTCATATGTTAATTAGTTTTATATCCAAACAGTTTGTCTTTACTGTGTATTTCCTACCTCTTTCCAAATTCATACTCTCTTCGCCTACCCTTTTATCGGATTCTTTTTTCTTCTTCTACGTGTATGGGTGTTTTTGTCAGCATGTTTGACCGTGCAGTGCCTGCCAAAGCCTCTGATCCCCTGGGACTAGAATTATGAACAGTTGTGAGCTGCCACATGGGTGCTGGGACTCGAACCTGGGTCTTCTGCAAGAGGACCCTGCTATTAACCATTGAACCATCTCTCTAGCTTTCTTTATCAGAGTCTTACTTTAAGATTTAAAAATTTTAAAATGTATGTGGGTGGGAGTGCAGGTCCCCTTGGAGTCCAGAAAAGAGTGCTGGATGCCCTGGAGCTGAGTTACCCCAACTGGTGCTAGGAATTAAACTCTGTCCTCTGGAAGAGCAGCCTGTGTTCTTAACTGCTGAACCTTCTCCAACCCTCCTTATCTGATTTTGTTTTTTCTTTCTTTTCTTTTTTTGTTTTGTTTTTATTTTTTAATTATCTTTAATTTATTTTTCAAGACAGAGTTTTTCTGTGTATCCCAGGCTGTCCTGGAACTCACTCTTTGGACTAGGCTGGCTCAAACTCAGAGATTTGCCTTCTGCCTCCTGAGTGTGAGTGCTGGGATTAAAGACCTTTGCTATCTCGCCTGGTCTTATATTATTTTTTGTTTTGTTCTTTTAAGACAGGGTTTCTCTTTGTAATGGCCCTGGTTATCCTGGAATTCTCTTTGTAGACCAGGCTGGCCTCAAATTCAAAGAGATCCACCTACCCCTCTGCCTCCCAAGTGCTGGAATTGAAGGCATGCTCCACCAAACCCAGCTCTCTTGTCAGATTCTTCATCGTTTTTTGTTTGAGCTGTGTCGGGTAAGTGCTGTGTTCTGAGTGTACATATGGAGGAGGCCAAGTTTCTGCTGCATTTGTTGAAAGCAGATAAATTCATTATTGTACTACTTGGGCTGCTAATAATAATTGAATAATTGCTTAAGATAATAGAAGCTTTCTGGTGACTCTGGAGACTGATAGTCCTAAATCAAGGTTCCAGAGTGGTTTCTAGGGAAGCTGATTTCTGGGGATGCCAGTTACCTTGCAACTGGCTAGCTTCTTGTGTTCTCACATGACTTTTACTGCGGAGTCCAGAGTGATGTCTCTTCCTCTTATATGAAAACCATTCTTGTTGGATTAGGAGCTACTTCTGCCACCCATTTAACCTTAATTGCTTCCCATGATGCCCAAAGTCCAAATACAGTTACACTAGGGACTGGGTTTGTCTTAGTTACTTCTTTACTGCCATAACAAAACACCACAACGAAAACAACTTATAAAAGAGTTTATCGGTGCCTTCAGTTTCAGAGGATGAATCCATAGCCATCTTGACAGGGAACATGGCAGCAGGCAGGCTGTTAAAGGAATGGCCAGCTTTACCCGAAGTAATTGCATGGAAACTGTATTCTTTTAAACACTGCCTGGTCCATTACCTCCAGCCTCTTATTGGCTAACTCTCACATATTGATTCAACCCATTTTTAATAATCTGTATCTCACCACGAGGTCATGGCTTACCGGGAAAGATTCAGCATGTCTGACCTGGTAGCTTCATGGCGGGCAGCTCTCTGCTTCTGCTTCTTTCTCCCAGCATTCTGTTCTGTCTACTCTGCCTATCTAAGCTGCTGTCCTATCAAAGGCCGAGGCAGTTTCTTTATTAACCAATGAAAATAACACATAGACAGATGACCCTCCTCCATCAGCAAGCAAGCATGACACTGGAGTAGTAGCCGAAAGTTTATATCTTTATTCACAAGTAGGAGGCAGAGAGAGAACTAACTGAGAAGGGCATGGGCTTTTGGAATCCCACCCCTGGTGATGCACCTGTTCCAACACGGCCACACCTCCTAATCTTTCCCAAACAGTTCTTAATCAAACCACCATAGGGGTTCTACATAGGAATTTGAGGTGATGTAGGGGTTACCATTGTCCATAACAGTTGTGAAAGGTGCTGTGTTTGGCTCCTGATAAAAGTAAGGCAGTCCAGCTATTCCAAAGAATTGCCAATTCCTCCTAGGATGGGACAGTAAAAAATGCTCCAAGGAGATGGCATTCCATTTTCTATTGTTACATAGTAATGAATCACCTCAAAACTTACTTAAAATTGCCATATTTCATGACCTTTTATTATTCTAAGGCATGATTGGGTTCAACTGAGCACTTCTATCATTTGGGGTCTTCTACAGTTATAGTAGGATGATAACTGGGACTAGATTTGTCATTAAGATTGATCAAGGCTGGAATGTCCACTGAGGTTTTCCACCTACAGGAGGCATCTTTTGGCTGTTCGGATTCTCAGAACAGGGAGACTAGGCTAGGAGAATGTCCAAAGAGAATCAGGCAGATGGTTTAATGTCTCATGGTTTAACTATAGGATCAGATTTCCCAGAGTTTGGTCTACCTGGATTTAAGGGGAGGGGACATGGGTTACTCCTTGGTGGGAGGAATATCAAAATTACATTGTAACAAAACCATATGGATGGCACATCTTTTTGAGATCATGGTAGAAAATATATTCCATAGTAACTTGTGTGATAGATCTAGAGGGAAAAAGATTTCTTCAGATCAAGGCAAGGGAACAGATACATCTAAGCAAGGACTGAGTGTGGGAAAGTTAACAACTTGGCAAAAGTTCATAGCGAAGAAACTAGACGGCATCATTTGCAGTGGTGAACGCCTGTAATTGCAGCCGTGGGAGCTGAGGTGGGAAGAGGGTGTGTTTGGGGCTATCCTGGACTACAGGAGCAGGACTTGAGAATGAGAATACTGAGAAGGGAATTGTGGAGTTGGTGATGGAGAAGAGCAATAAAGCCTTATCAACAGGCGAGTGCCGCTAAAGTTCCTTGTTGAAAATATCTGATGGGAATGGAAAAGACAGATTTTTGAGCAGCTGTTTTAAGGTGTTCTAACTGCTCAGCACCTTTTTGTGGCCAGCACAAACCCACTAGCAACATTATTTATTACCCAGAGGTGTTTAATGTAAAGGTGGGGCATGGGGTGGGGGAGCAAATGTACTAAAATCTCATTTTGGAGTGAGGGTGGGTTGTAGTTTGACACGTGGATTCACTTCTCACTCAAAGCACACGGTTTAGTGTGATCCGTAAGGCAGGTTGTCTGGAAACCCTGATACTGGTATGGAGGCCATTGTAGGGCTCTGGTGAAGGGAGGAAAGAACCCAAACCATACTGGAGGGTGAGATTGGAGATGCTGGATAGTAGGGTGGATGGGCAGTTAAAGAAAGCAGGCCTCTATACCAGGTATAGCAACTTTATGAAGCAGGTGGATCTAAGTGTTCAGTCATCACAGATGACAAGCTGTCTTAGAAATACTGGTTTTCTGAGGTCACACACACACACACAGAGCCATCAGGTACTGGAAGTACAGTGTAAGACTGGTCTTTCCCACTTCTGCTTCCGTATTCAGGCCCCACTGTTACCAGAATAAGAGACAGAAAGAAAGGAGTCGGTGGTGAAGAAAGTTAAACTGGGCTGCAGAGGATTTGTGGGATTTCAGATGAAGCGGCTTCTGAGAATGAGGCTGAAGTTAGGAGTTTGCTGAGGACCGGGACTGCTTACTTTTGAGATGCCAGTGCTTAAATGAAGCCACCTTGACTTTCTAGAAATGTGACTCCTCCTTGCTTCTGAAGTGGACCTGGGTATCTATTGCTTGTGGGATAAAAAGCCCTCAACCTCACATTCACTCGAGTCTTTCTTTGCCCTGAGCTTTGCTCCCTCTAAATTCTCTACTCTAGATGAACACTCATGCTATAGACCTGTCCTCATAGCTTTGCTTACCTGTGCCTCCCCCCAGCCCCCCCGCAAGGAATTCAGTATAGAGGAATCTGAGTTTGAATTAAAGCTGCTCCAGTCTGTGGCTGTTGGAATGTTAGTTGATCTCTACTATAGCTCTTCTCAGCTGGAGCCATGACGACTGATAACTGAGCTCACAGCCCTTGTTGACTTGGTGTTCCTTACCTGAAGATGCCCATCTTGACTTCGGTGCCTCACGAGACCCCTTCCAGGGCATAGCACCCCCAGTCCTTGATTCTCTTCAGCCAGGTATCTCGTGACTATGATTAGTTCTCTGAGTATCCAAGGCAGAGAATGTTAAAGCTAGAAGAAACTTTAGGAAACATTTTACCAAGGACGCATGAAGGGAAGTGATAGGAAACACTATCCTTTAAGAGACGCTTCAGCTTAGGAAGAACTCTGCTCCTGCCCCTGAGTCTCTGCTCATAGACCAGGAAGCTAGGCTTCCAGTTCCTTCTCTGATCCCCTTCTTAGATAGGCATTTGGTATCTTTGTCCTGTTTGTTCCCTAATTGTTGATTTTGTTTTCTCCATATCACACAACCATTTATATGTTTTGAAATTCTGCCCTCCTGTCAAGTGAGCACAATTTGTTAGTTTCTTTATCTTAATTTCCTCTCCACAGTGTGCCTGACAATGTGCCTGTTGATGTTGAAGAATGTTGTTAGGTTCAGGGGAAGAGTTTAACTGGTGACAGGGTGTGACAGGTACATAGAGTAATTAGTTTGGCATCTGCATGTAAGTAAATGGTCAGTTACATTTTTCTGTTATTTTTAGGGATTTTTGTTTGTTTGTTTTTGCTGAGGGTTTTACACTGTAGACTTATCTAGACTGTCCTGGAATTCACAGTAATCCTGTCTCAGCCTCCTAAATCCTGGACTTAAAGGCATAAGCCAATATACCTGGTCCTTTATTTTCTCTGAAATAAGGTCTTACTAAATTGATGAGGCTTTATAATTTCATACAACCAACCAGGTGATGCTGTACTGGTTTCTCACCAGCCCTTTGAAGTACATGGACCACTTCTGTGAACTCATGTCAAGTACTGAGCTGCAACAAGGTTACAGGCCTACCTAAGTCTTCCAAGCCATGCTCAGTTCTAAGATGCAGCTTCAGCTCGGAGTATATGGTAGTTAGTGTAGTCTGCCCAATGTCCTATCTTTCTTTGGAGGAAAGTGTCTGTCAACTGCCTTTTGACAAGGTTTTGTTTTTGCACCTTAAAACATACATTAATTTATTAAATCTTTACTGTAAGTTAACTTGTATTGTTGCCATTTTATAGGCAAGGAAATAGATTCAGAAATTGGGACTTGCATCCAGAGCTCTGCCAGCATCTTTGCATTAATGCATTTTTGTGCCCATGATAATTGTTCTGAGTGCTCAGTACCTGTATTCTCAGTTTGTAGCTGAAAATAAAAGTTTTCCTGACTCTGAAAAAGAGTTCCAATATGTATGTCCAGGTAAAATCATTCTTTAGATATATGATGTTTGCTTTATTGTCCTGGTGTCAAACCCACACCAGCTGTCTGCTGTGTGGATGCAGTTCTGCAGAGCAGGCCTCTGTAGGTAAATGCAGAGTTGCCGCCCCTTGCTTCAGCTTCCTTTCATCTCTTTCCTTCCAGAGTCAATGCCTGTGTGGATGTGGTGATCTCTGGTGTGAAGCTTTTGCAGGCGCTTGGTCTCAGTCCTGGGAGTGGAAGAGATCATGCTGTTCTGCACTCAAGAAGTGATCTGGAAGAAGCCTTTGTGTACTTCATGGGGAAGGGAGCCGCTGCTGAGCGCTTCTTCAGTGATAAGGAAACCTTCCATGACATCGCCCAGACTGCATCCAAGTTCCCCGGAGCCCAGGTTTGCCCCAATTACCAGTGCTACAAACTTTGTTAAGGGAGGGGGATAGCCCTTTTTAAAAACAAAACAAAACAGGGTTCTTAGAAGCAGCTTTCTCAGCTAGGCAGTAGTGTTGCACACCTTTAATATCAGCACTAGTGAGGCCGAGGCAGGTGGATCTCCGAGTTCAAGGCCAGCCTGGTCTACAGAGGGAGTTCCAGGACAGCCTCCAAAGCTACAGAGAAACCCTGTCTCCAAAAACCAAAAAACAAAAACAACAAAAAAGGCAGCTCTCTCTTTCTCTTTCAGTGTACACCAAGATCCAGTTCTTTGGGTTGGCCCTTTTTGTAAAATTTTGTGTGTGTATGTCATTAATCCTACTATTTCTTTTACTCGGATTTCTGTTCTGGGTCATACAGAACACCCTCCCCCCTTTTTTGTTACTAGACTAAAGGTTAGAAGTATGTATGCCTAGTCCTAGTTTAGGTTATAATTTATTTTTTTCCATTTTTTGTGTGTGTTTCTATATTTTATTTTTTTAATAAATGTATTTATTTATTTTACATCCCAGCCACAGTTTCCCTCCCTTCTTTCCTCCCAGTCCCTCTCCCCTCAGGTTATAATTTTTTATATATAGTTTGCAGTAATCTTAATATGTCTGAGTCTTTGCTAAGAAGGAAGGAAAAAAAGATAAACCCACACAGAGCTCTATCTAAATCCTTTTGGGAAGGGGGTTGGGAGTGTCTTCACCTTTATTTCGTTTGTTCAGACCAGGGTGTTTCAAGAGGGTGGAGGCTAATGCTCTATGAGAAGGGCTGTCCTATGTGGTAGGTAATTGTCAGCAGCCTCCCACTTCGGACTGCTGAGTGCAAAGCTCTGCTCTCCACTGTGATGGCCAAACTATCTCAGACACTCTCCTGTGTTTCCTGTGGGAAAAAGGCGGTGGCAGAATCACACTGTTTGAAATCAGCTGGTCTAGACTGTAGTTCTCAGGCTGAAGTATGTGTTGGAATCCCTGAGGGGTGGTGGGATAGGAACTCTTAAAAGAAATTGGCACTGTTATTCTGAATTCCTGTTCAGTCTATGGAAACCTAGAGTTTTCTTTTCTAGTAAGTTTCTTGGTTAACACTATTTGGTTAAAGACCTTGTTTTGAGAACCACTTGTTTATAGAGCAAAGCACATCAGACATAGGAACTCGTAGGAACTTCAGTATCTTTCAGCTCACCTGTAATTATCAATAAAACCTGGGAACCCGCATGGTAGAAGCACTGTATGGTAGAAGAGTCAGTTCTAGAGTTGGAGACACAGCCTTGGCTCTTCCTATCTCACCAACATGCCTGTCCTCTACGTACCCTGGGGATGAGTTTTGGTTCTGATTTCTCTCATCCCAGTACCACTAGGTCCTGGTAATTCTTCCTCCTTATATAGGGACTTCACTTTATCCAAAAGAAAGGTCTTACATAAGTATGAACCTGAATTCTGACTAGGGAAGTTTTTTGTTTTGTTTTGTTCTGTTTTTATAGATTTATTTTTATTATGTATACAGCATTCTGCTTGTATTCTGCCTTCAGGCCAGAAGAGGGCACCAGATCTCATTACGAATGGCTGTGAGCCACCATATATAATTGCTGGGAACTGAACTCAGGACCTTTGAAAGAGCAGCCAGTGCCCTTAATTGTTAAGCCAGTTCTCCAGCCCTGCTAGGGAAGTCAATACATTTTTAATTGGTACCAATCACAGGCAAACCTTGGTGACCATTTTGATTTTGATGCCTTTGAGATTTAAATTCCTTTGTCTTTTGAAGTGGCCATCTTGAGCATTAGAAATGAGCGAGGCATTAGCCAGCTAAGTCTGTAAAGGAGACAGTTGTCTAGTCCACCTTGTCAGCTAAGCTCAGTGGCAGAAGTCCTCTCTCGGAAGAGATTCTTAGTTGTAGTGGGGTAAGTCTCCTGTTCAGTAGTCTTTATGATCCTGATATTTAAGCCAGTTTGCTTTATGTGCTCTTCTGCTTTGATGGAGGGGACAGGAATCCTACAGGAATCAAAGTCTGCTTTTTGATGGTCCAAATTATTTCTAAACTTTATAAAAATGTCTTGCTTACCTTCTACTGATGCTTCAGTTTTGTGCCTTTTCAAATTACCATCAGCTGTAAGGCTGATGGCCTGATAGCCAACAGATAAACCATCCTGTGGAAGCTCTGCCTGTTGTAGCTATCTTGAAATTTCCCTAACATTTCTTAGTGAATTCTTCTATCCATTTTAGTTAAGTAAAACATTAAATCTGACATGTAGACCAAATTTGAGCTATTCATCACAGAAAATTTTAAATTTTTATCTCTGTCCTGCCCAAACACAGATTTATTGACCTAAAGCACAGGGTGAGAGTAGTGGCCAGCATCTAGAGTAAGTTGTTTAATCTCTTCCTCTGCATGGGCTAAGGACAGAAAAGATGGAGTGTTGCTCAGGGAGAACTTCTCAGACTTCTTAACCGAACTGGCTGTTATTTGAGTTTCCAAGGCATCCAAATCCATGCTTAGCAACATGGAGTACCAGTTGGAATTGTCTGCTTTCTAGAAGAGAGAGAATAGGAGTTGTCCTGTGTGAGGGACTTTACCTGGGAGAGTTTACTACCAGGGTGGCCATTGTATTTCCTAATGTCAGTGTGCTTCTTCCACCCTCTCTCCAAACTTAGCAACAGACACTTACTTAGCCCGTATCCTAAGAAGGTGATCCCTAACCTGAAGGAGCGAGTTGTGTTCCAGATGTTTACCACCTAAGAGCTGGAAGCTGTATTAAAGACTATTCAAGTTAGGTGGTGAGAGATCCCTAGTCCTATCTAGGGAGGACCATTTTGGAGACTGAGATGTCAGTGGGGAAAGGGGAGCAGAGACAGTGTCATATGTTGTTGGAAAGGATTCAGGACCATACCTAATATAGAAGGGCAGGGTGTCCTAGCCAAAGGCCCAGGGACCGAGAGGAAGGCTGACTTGGAGAACTACCTTTCACTGCTGCAAGATAGGGGTGGAAGAGAAATCATGAGCTGAAAACAAGAAAGTCTCTGTACACCCGCTGTACAGTGTCAATGTCAATGTTCCTCAGTGGTGCTGCTTCTAGTCTCCTGTGTCTGTTTCCCACAGTATCCCCTCAGTCCTTTCTTACACTTCCCTCTTTGCTGGCATTTTCTCCTTCAGAGCTTTCCTTGTAGTAAATCTCATGTGGATTTGACACTGGGAAACAGGCAGCACAGCTACATACTTTACTGTCTATTCCTAAAGTGGGTAACGTATAGAATACAAAGAGAGGATGTGATTAATTATTCATAATGCATATCTCTCCTTGGTGGGGTAATTTGTAAACTGAAAATTCTGGGAGCAAAGTTTGTACTTTATGCAGCTACACTTACCATAGAAACTGAAATTTAAGCTGTGTTGTTGGAGAAACTAGTGTGCAGCACAAATTCTTATTGCTCTTACTAATAAAGACCCAGAGCCAGATATTGGGGTAAATGCTGGAAGATGAGAGAAACAAAGGAGCAAGCCACAGCCAACTCTTATCTGTTGTCTCCTGTCTCCTCCCGCCTTATATTCCCCTCTCCACCCAGCCATATCACTTCCTGTCTGTCTATACAGACCTCCAGGCCTTTATGGTTAACTAGTGGCTAACTCTGCGCTCTGTACTTCAGGCAAGCTTTATTTGTTAGAGCACAAACAAAATATTACCACACTAGTGTTACTTAATTAAATGATCATAACTGGAATTTGTGCATGCATATTGGAACCAAGCAAAGCAAAGCTTACCTGTATTATGGACATTGAATTAAATAAAATACAAGATATTTTTAAAGGTACATTTTAAACTAGGTGTGTTGGTTCATGCCTGTAATCTCAGCACTTTGGAGCTTGATATAGGAGGATTGCTGTGAGCTCAAAGTACCCTAAGCTACCTAGCAAGACACTGTGTCATTCACTTCTCCACCCCACATTCCCCACACAGAAAGTTACATTGTAGAGCCCAGTGTGATGCTGTGAACTCCTAGTCCCAGCACTCAAGAAGCAGAGGAAAAAAATAAACGAATTAAATGACAAAAATCAAAACTGCCCAGCTACATCTTAGGACTAAGGATGCAGCTGAAAGCACTCACAGGCCCTAGGCTCCAACACTGAGAGAAGGATATGCTCAGGTATTGAGTGATATTTAGGAGCCTGACATAGTCGTATGCTCCATTAAGGAATCACAGTCTGTAGGATAAGGTACAGTCATACCCTTTGTGTTTTCTATTCTGCTTTAACTGCCTGGAAGCTCAGGGCCAGTTTGATCTAATTCAAACAACCATACTGATTTTCATATTCTCTCCATCTTTCCTTATTACTCCTTGTCTGTTTTGTTTTGTTTGCTTTGAGATAAGGTCTCTCTATGTAGCTCTGACTGGCCTGGAGCTTGCTTTGTAGATGAGGATGACTTTGAACTCACAGAGTTAAGCCAGCTTCTGCCTCCAGAGTGCTTGAATTAAAGGCATGGGCCACCATGATGCCTGGCTTTGTTTCTGTTTTATTAACCTCATTTGTAACCTTTGTTGTCAAGTCACTTCCAAGCTTGGTGCAGCTAGCCTGGTGGTAGATACATGTGATCCTAGCCCATGGAAAGTGGACAGAAGGATCAGAAGTTCAGGACTAGCCTCAGCTACAGAGGGAACTTGAAGCTAGTCTGAGCTACATGAAACTCTGTCTCAAAAAAAACAGGAAAAAAGAAAAATCAAAATATATTAGTAGGGGCCAGGGTGATATCTCAGTGGTTAAGAGCCCTGACTCCTCTTGCAGAGGACCAGAATACAGTTGCCAGCACCACATGGAGGCTCATACTTCCAGGGGATCCAGTATCCTCTTCTGACCTCTTAAAGTATCGCAAACATGTGGTACACAGACACAGACACAGGCAAGATACCCATAAACACAAAATAAAGACAATTCTAAAAAAAAAGTTAAAATTGCTGGGGTAGAAATGGGCTTTGTTTTTAACCTTAGAAATGACTAAGCTTGGGTTATGCACTTGTTTGAGTGCTGATAACCTTGAATTGTCTTACAGCACTATGTGGGAGGAAATGCAGCTTTAATTGGACAGAGGTTTGCTGCCAATGCAGACTTAAAGGTAAGTCACATTTCCAAATTAAACGTGTCTTTTTAAAATTTGTTTGTTTTTATTTTATGTGCATTAGTGTTTTACCTGCATGTGTGTCTGTGTAAGGGTATCAGATCTTGGAGTTACAGACAGGTGTGAACTGCCATGTGAGTGCTGGGAACTGAACCCAGGTCCCCTGGAAGAACAGTCAGTGCTCTTAACCGCTGAGCCATCTCTCTAGCCCTAGTGTCTTTCAACTGGTGTTTCCTCAGTGTTAAGAGCAAGAGTGAGTCTTGGTTACTTAATTCAGTCTGTGGGTCTGCCTGAGCATCTGGCGAGAAAGCAGTGTTGTGTTGGGGATGAGTGTAGTAACTAATGATGTTTGGGTACTTACCGTTTGTAGATCGATTCTTCTGCAGTCATTAAAGGATAGCTAATACTGCTGTTGATGGGACTGTTCTTGTTTTCTACATAAGGAAATGGGAGGCCTAGAGGCATTCACACTAATACATGTGGATGCTCAGATGCTCTCTAGATAGCCTGACCTAAGAACCCATGTTCTGATGAACATGTAATGGCTAAAAGCACCTGGATTCGGGAGTCAGGCTAAGTAGGAGATTAATACAAGTGATAAGAGAAAATGGAGTTGTTTGTGTTGGTGAACCTGGATCCAAAGTGCAAAAACATGGGAGCTGTCAGGTGTAGTGACTCCAGAGACAGAAGCAAGTACGTAGAGGTGTATATTCAATTCTTAAATTTTTTGATGTAAGTAGAGTTAAATGACCCCTATAGCCAGGTGTAGTGGTACACATATGTAATCCCAGAAAAATCACAAGTTCTGGGCCAGGTTGGAGTACATAACAAAACTCTGCCTCAAAAGCAATCTCCCAAATAAATAAATATTAATTATTTGCTCGTGATATATGTAAAGTAAAATCTGAGTAAGTAGTGGGGTAGATGTAAAGGGGAAAGCCAGCATGGAGGTAGTTGCCTTTGCACTGTAAAACAGAGTTTGGATTAGAGCTTTCAAAAGAGAAAAAAATATATATCCAAAACCAAAATGGTAAGCAGAGATTTAACAAAGATGATTTCAGTATAATAGCAATAGCCGCCAACTGTCCTCCCAATTCCACTCAGTGCAAAAGAAAACTGCTTACTCAGATGCTGTTTTCATATGGACTCTCCTGAGGCTACTGTTCTCTCTGTCTCTGGAGAAGCTAGCCTAGGACTGCAAGACATTATAATAAACAAACCTGGCCTTGAGAGAAGAAAAAACATGGCACTTGTTCTTACTGCAGTCTCATGGTTTTATGATTCTTAGAATTAAGAAGTCCTGGGAGGCCCAAGGTTACCTAAGCTAGAGAATGGAAGGGCTACAATGTAAACACTACACTCCAGACTGACTATCTTCCTCTACTGCTCTCTCAGAAATTCAGTTTAACTTGTCCAAATGCATCCCAATATGGACCAGATAGTACCTGAGAAATAGCAGAAATTAAGAACTAGGTTTTCAGCTGAGTGGTGGTGGCACACATCTTTAATCCCAGTATTTGGGAGGCTGAGGCAAGAGGAGCTAAGTGATGTCAAGGCCATCCTGTCTACAAAGCTGTAGCACAAATAATATAAACCAAGAGATAGATGCTACGTTCAAGCTGAAGATAAGGAAAACAAAGCAGCCAAGCCAAGGAAATAATATTAACTGAGTAAGCAGGAAGTGTGAGCAGATGATTTCCAAAATACATGAGAAATGATAGAAACAGCTGGCTGCCTGGACAGTCACCTAAAATTCCTCTGCAATGTTGGGGCATCCATTTTCAGCCTAGAGGCCTAGAATGTTTGACAGACTTTTCTGTGAAGAGGATTTTTGAAGGACTGTCTTGCCCTGTCTTGACAAGGTTAGTGTCACTATCTTTTGTGTCCTGCTTGTCTAATTAGGATAGCATACTGTCAACAGTCTTGCCCAGCAGCTTACTTTTGCCTCAAAGAAAATAAACTCCATATGGATATTGTTCAATGCCCATTATCTACTATGAAGTAGATTGTTGCTACCAGGAGCAGACATGTCTTATTGAGGGGAAAAAAAAAAAAAAGAACCTATGTTATTAAAACATCTTAAATACCATATTCAGTAGATCTCTGAAATATTTGAAGATGACCTGTCTATTTAAAATATATCTCTATTAGACCTTGAGAACATACCTAATATGACTACAAGTTTAATTGTACTAGGTGACTGATTACTAACCTGCATTTCCTTATTATCCTAAACAGTTGGTAATAATAACTTTGAAGAACTAGAAATGTGGATTACATTATTAAATGAGCTGTATAGGTACAATACCTGAACAAGATTAGAAATATATGTACAGTATGTTTTAACAAAATTAATCTCAAATTTGTATCAATATGTAAAATTTGTATAATATACAATAATAATATACAAAAATCCAATCCAAAATATTTGAAACTAGTAGTAGTTTTTTAAAAGTAGATTCAATTATCTAACTTTATTTTATCATATCTATATTTTCCCTTTTTTCTTTTCGGAGTAGATTCAGTGATCTATCCTTTTGTGCTATCATATCTATATTTCCCTTTTTTATATTCAAAACAGGAACTCCGAATCTCCTTTGTTCAGCTTTCCTTCTGACTGTTTCCAATCACAAATTGTAACCAACCCCTGCCAACAATGACAAATATCTATAACCCGTTGAAGGACCAAAACTCATCCACCCCCACCTCTTGGGGATGTGGATGTCATAGTCTTAAATTTACTTCCTGCTGTCTGAGGACAGTGGTATCATTAGGGGATCCTGAAGAGAAAAATTTGGGATACTTGTCAAGTCCTTGGAAGAGGTAGCTTTATCATTTTTGTCCATTCTCTGCATAATGGGAAAGTGCAGGGCTTGTCTCAAGTCCTGGCTAGAGAAGTCTGTGAGGCTGGATCATCTCAGCTAGCCACCTCAAAATTGTCCTGAACAGTTTGTAGTCCAAAGTCGATCTTTAGATAGTGTTTTTCAACTTAGTGGTGTTATCATAGTCCTGGAGGAATTGTTGTTGTGGGGCCCCACCCTCCTTTTGGAGACTTCAGAGGTCACTGTTAAGCATGGTTATGACTCACTGCAGAAAACTAATAGAGACTCAAACCCAAAATAATGTACCAGAAGGTAGATTAAGTCTTTTTCTAGAATTAGGTAGTATTCTATATAACCACTAACATCATAATATATGTTATAATACATATATATCATATATATGATATACATATATATCATATATATGATATATAAATGAATGGTATATTAATATGTATATGAATTATATATAAATCTTGTAAATTTTGAGGTAATATTTATATCTTAAGAAAAACTGTTAAAGAGTCAAAAATAAAACCAGAAGATTATGAGATTAGTGGCAATAAAATAGTCTTTAAATTTTTGTTTTTCTTCTGTCCCATATCAGGTGGCTCAGAGATTTTGGATTTTACTTTCATAAGCATACTTGGGTTTAGAGAAGAAGAGAGCCACACTCCAACTCCAAATACAGCTTTAATTTTTAATTGGACTGGGACTTCAAAAAGACCATTTGCATTATATGTCTGGAGAGAATAGCAGAAATAAGCATTTGGGAAGATTTATGAAATTTCATCCTGTTGGAAAAGTGATATACCAACAGGCCAATCCCAATCTGCTCTTGGTGTTTTTTGTTTGTTTGTTTGTTTGTTTTTGATTTGTCCTTTTTCTTCAGATGTCTCATTTGTCCACTGGTCTTCAGATTCCTTAGCTGGATTCCTTCACTCTCCTGAAAAGACAAAAACAAAACCCTTCCCCAACCCTAATTTTGGGAGGATTCTCTTTTGACATGTCATATCTGATAAAATGAAAAGCATTTGTTAGTTTTATAGGTTAGTTTAGATTAAACAGCCATGTTGTTTGATGAACTATCATCATCTCTTCTAATTAAGAGGTGTCTCTTGTTCAAATTGAACCTTTATTAATTTTGATGGTATCCATAGTTTTCTTTCTCCCTTCCGCCAATGTAACTCGTGTCCTAGTTTCCATTCTGAGGTCAGTACATCTTTAAAGTATACCAGCTGATTTTAACTCCATAGTTTTTTCTACTATTCAGTGTCTCTCTCCACAGCTGTTGTTTCTTTCTCATTAGCAATTCAAAAACTCAAAGTTAATAAAGCATTATGCAATCTATTTCTGGGGGTCTTTCATCCCTTTCTGTTTATTTAACATATCCTTTGGAGTTCAGTTTGATCTTTCAATAACTGCCTGGCCTGTATAGTTGTATGGTATATCTTTAATATGTTTTATATTATAATAAGCAAATGACAGTTTTATTTTCTTAGAGACATATGCTGGAGCATTTTCTGTCTTTATTTGTACAGGAATACCCATGATGGCCGTAGCTTCTAGAAAATGGTGTGATTACTGAATCAGCCTTTTTTGAACTCAACTTTGATTCATTTTACTTACATTTTCTGATTTGTAACCTGCCTTACCTGATTTATTTGCGTCAGTTTAGAATGTAGGGTCTCCAGATATTGATTTTTCCTATATAATGCAAAGAAGGATCCAGTTGGTTCTCTTTTTGAGTTGAATTCTCTTGTTTTTGAAATATTTGTTGGAATAATCTCTCCCAAAAAATTACTACAAGATCTTTCCTAGGGTTCACTTTCTTCCTATAATTTATCAGTTTCATCATTAGTGAATGGTACTACAATTTCTGCTGGGTCTGTTCTGTTAATTGATGAAGTCTCAATTTTCCATTTAGAATTAACTTAGAGACCTTTTCTATATAAGTTTTTAATTTTTACTTGGTTTATGTGGCAAAAGATTCATTCTCAGATAATATCTTCCCTCTGTGTTAAAATTTCTGTAGGTGAACGTTTGGAGGGTAATATGACCAGAGTACAGTTAAGATTCAGATCCACATGATCCACATGTGCCTTCTGTAATTTCTCTTTCACCAAAGCCAATTCTCTCTCGGCCTGAGCTGATGATTTCCTGGGACTGCTTACA